CACAAACTTTCAGTAAATATTAATCTTCTGTTTGGAAAAAAATACACAACACACACACACACAGACGCGCACACACACACACTCACAGAGCCACTAATGTTTTAGAGCAAAAACATACACCAATAAAGCTTCAACCTATTGATTTCATTCTTGTCGTCTTTTTATTGAGATGGAAGAGGAACAATTTTGCTGTAAAGTTATCGTGGTTATTATTGTCAAAGTTGAACGTGCACACACACACGCACACACAAAAAGAAACACACAAACTCATGCCAGACTGTAAATGATTGACTCGATGTGCCTTTGATGATTCATCCCAGTGAGATGGAGCTTGAATGGAAAATGTCAACTTTAAACCGAGATTAAACGGAATCACTCAGGGAAGCTGGTGGGGGGTTTATGTGTGTGTTTGAGGGAGCCTGAGGGTGTGTATGTGAGCTTGAGTCTGGTAATATTATGCTATTAAATTCATCATGGCCTTCTTGGCAACAAATATAAAGCTCTCAGTCAGTCTCTCTCCCTTCCTGTCTTTGTCTCAAGTTCTGATTCAGATAAAGGCGAGTGCAGACTACACAACTTTTGTCATTTGATTTTATCGTAGTGCAGCAGAAGCAGTACAGCATCTTAAAGCTTCAACCTGTATGAAAAGCCATGAGGCAAAAGTACTGTGAATAAAACATACCCTCTGTTATTCAGGTAGTGAAAATTTGACATATTGTGTGCCACATTTGATGTATCTGCTAAAGAAATAACTACATTTGCATGTCTGTATGTTAAATGAAAAGCTAGAGCCAACAGCTTAGCTTGGAAAGAAGTCTGGAAACAGAGGGGGAACAGCAAGCCTGCTTTGTCCAAAATCCACCGACCAGCACCTCTGAAGCTCACAAATGATGTTATATATTGTATGTTTTCCTCATTATGAGGTTGCTAAGCAAGCTCGCTGAATTTGTACACAATTACTTCTCTAATTTGGGATTTTTTTCCTTCCCAGACGCTCTGCAACAGTGTTGTCTGTTAAAACTGTTTCAATGGTCTCTCTGTCTTTCTTTCTTTGTCTGTTGGCCAGTGGTGGGATGTGGAGAAAGGCGAGGCCCTGCAGACCTTCTATACCACGGGAACCGCGCTGAAGAGGATCCACGTCTCGTCCGACTTCTCCACCTTCGTCACCATCGACAACATCGGCATCCTCTACATCCTGCAGAGGGTGGTGTGACATTGCAAACGCTGCTCCAAAAAGACCAAAAGAAAGAAACAAAAACACCACGATCTACGCTAACACTAGATTTTTCTTGCAAAAACTACAGTATTACAGACTGTATACCGAAGTAGACATGTTTCGTTGCGTTAAGGACTCTTGCAGAAGCCTAAACTGGAAGATGCCGCATCCCATAACCACACACCTCTCAGATAAGTTTACATTTCCACTGCACTCTTTCTACATACAGGCTGTCACTAGCCAACAGCATCACAATAGAGCATTACAGACATTCACTTTCCATTCTCTTGGGTCAAATGACACTGCTAACCAGTTAACACCAGCTTTAAATGAAAACTACTACAGCTACGAACTAACTGTTGGGAGCGTAGACAGACAGTGAAAGCTCAAAGAGTCTTAATATTCCTACTCCAGTCTCTGTTTTAAAACAGTGGCTGTTTTTTTAGGTAAAATAGAGCAGAATCATCTTTTTAAAAACTAGGAAAGATGCATTAAAAAGCATGTTTACATAAAGAAAAAAAATCAGCGTTCGTGACGATTAGGTCTCATTAATACCTAATAAAGAGGTTAATATAAACAGGTGAAACAGATGTGATCATTGCATCAGTTCAAATAATACATGTTAATCCATATTGCATAAGGGCTGAATATTATTGCATGTAATGTGAGGGAACTTCCACTCCGCCGTATGTAATACATATAAGCTATCGTGCATTTGCAAGTGCATTTTGACTCGTAGTGTGCTGTGATGTTTTCTCATGTTTGTGTTTGAGGGTAAATCTTCTGCGTCAGGTGTAAACCTGGCTGTGATACGAACAGTTTTGAGCCTTTTTTTTACACTGCAGCCTTAATTCTGAATGGGAATACTGTAGGTTGTAGAGGGGTATGTATGTTTAGTGTACATGGATTTCTCAATCCACCAGCATAGATAGAACTTCTGGTGCACTTTGATGAGCATTAAATATTAATAGTTTAAGTTTTAATGATTGAGCATTTAAAATTAAATCCAAAACCTTTGAAAGCCTGTGGTTCTATTTGTACATCCCAACTATTTGTACTTTTAAACTTAGATCAAAGGTAAATGTTTTCTACCAAAAATTGCAGTATGTGATTTATAATTTATATTCCACTTGCTAATGTTAAAAAGCACTTTTTTGTGCTTTATTAATTTCTTTTTTTACTTTGTACCAGTTATTTTTCACTCTATATACCACTTTTTACACATTTTGATCTGCACGTTGTCTGAGTACTGAGCCTTTTCCTGTTCTGAGCACTTTGAAGCAAGAGTTACAATCTTTCATGAATTCATGAAGCTTTCCCTAACGTGGCTTTGTTCAGACACATAAAGATGGATCCTTACTTTGATTTGACAATACAGATTAGTATGTGGTTGCCAGACTGGCAAGTGTCCCTGCGCATGCTGTAACCTATTCGTTTCAGTGGGTATGATACAGACTTCCAGGTCCACTAGGAGCTATAAGCACATAAAGATAGTAAGTGAATAAAAGTGAGGATGCATTTCAACATTTCTGATCGATGCTGTTGTCATTTTTCACATTGTGCTCTTTGCGCTTTGTACTTTAAAGCCAGCATAAATCCAATCAAAAGATTACCTTCCAGAGCTCTCTGGCTAACAAAATTGCGGAACTATTGATGTCTGCTCAGGATGTATTGATACTGTTTTATGGTGTGGTGCAGTGTGAGTGTAATTTATAAAAGATTAAACTACGCACGATATGATAATGTTGTGCGTCTGTCTTTATTTTCTTACCTGACAAATTGTCATTGGATTTAATTTCACTTTTGATAATCTGTTTATTGATTGTATCAGTCCTGCACTTCCTGTCTCCTCCAGTGTTTTTGCTGCTGACTCAACATCTGTCTTGAACCTCCAGACTGTGGTGGAATGACTCACCTCACATTTAGTCTACTCCAAATATCACCCAGTCGCTGAGAAAATGTATTCATGTTCGGAATTAAGTGAGGGAAAGTCATTTCTGTTGTCAGGATAAATGAGCTACTTATTAAAAAAAAAATTGCCTCATCTGTTTGCACTTGGGTACAAAAAGACTGAAAACAAGACTAAACTCTATTAAAGCAATGTGGTAGATGTATGTTTCTTCAACACATAGACCAATATCACATTCATCAGAAAACTGGTTAAAACTGGTACTCCAGCACCTAAAGGATTAACATCCCTGCAGCCTGGACCCTCACCAGTTTGCATTCAGAACCAACAGATCCACAGAGGATCACATATCCAGCTATGTGAGAATGTACAGTTAATAATCTACCATTTTAAATCAATAAAATGTATTCTTTTTTTTTAAATCTGGGGAGTTGGACCACTAGAATCTGAATCAGAAATTCTAATAATTTGATCCCCGGGGGGAAATCTGTTATTTACAGCACTCACACGTTAAATACTAATTGGAAATACTAATTATATTACAATATCTAACACAATATATATATAAATGGAAAATGTTAGCCCCCCTGGTGACATTGGATACAAAAAAATCATGCATGGCCACGAGATAGTAATGCATGGCCACGCATTATTTTGTTTTTTATTCAATGTCACCAGGGGGGCTCCGTAGATATACATTTAAGTAAAAATAAAAATATAATTATAAGTATTTACCTTATAATACCATGCAGTTACTCTCCCCACCAGCAGGGGGTGTAACCAAGCACTGCGGGTGTTCCGGTTGAAGATGGCCAAGTTACAGTAATTCATGTTTGATAAATGTGGCTGGGTGATAGATTTAGATGATAAACTGAGGGTTTTGTTGTGATTCATTAGAGAGAATCACCAACAGATATACTGTATGGTGATTGGCAATGTGAAAGTTGCTTTGATTAAATCTTTATTAAGCATACAAGGTGCTTTTGCTTAGTGGGATTTGCCTGTTTACAGTGCAGCTATCTAATATTACCAGATGTGTGTTTGAAACTAGATATGTGTGACTTCTGTTGGCAAATTGCACGAAGTCTTTATGGGCTCCCAGTATGGATGGTTAGGTTTTCCTGTGTTGTTAATCTGTAGTTGGTGGCAGCCTCATTTCCTCAGTTTGAGAGCTCAGAAATTAAATGCATATTGGGTTGAATTTGAGTGCTACTGTGCACATGGTTTATACGAATCTGTAGAAACGGATTAAGTCGGCATATTTCTCAATAGATGTTACACTTACAGTGTTATAAATCCAGAGGGCTAGCTAGACTTGACAAATATTGTCTTGCTTACAGTATCATATCGCCAGATTCTTGTAAATACACAGCCCTTATGACCATTGGTGTGTTTTCTGAATGATTATTAGTTACTTGATCATTTTAAAAAATCTTAATTTAAGCAGTTGGTGCAGGCAAGTCACTCCTTAGTCCAGTTTTTAAGGAACATTTGAAGTAGTCTTTTTGAGCAAAACAATATGTATCTTTATATCCCAGTGACTTAATTAACAGATTGCAGTATACTTCTAAATTTCAACTTCTCCAAATAACTAAACCACGCCGGTCAAAAGATCCTGGAGCTGCCGCCGGTGATGACATTCAAATGGTTGTGTGAAATTAGACACAACAGCTGCGGCTTTTATTCCACGTGTAAATATATATATCCTCCATACTGACCTCACACTACTGATTTACCACACAGGCTCGAGGACAGTCTGCACTGCAGTCCGTGATGACATGAGGTGTTCACGTTCACTGAGGCAATGTAACTGATGTATGTTTTTATCACCTCCCTGTCAGCACATCCATCAGTTGACTTTGAGTAAACTTATCGGTGGGTGAAGGGCTGAGATCCAATTCTCAGCTGAGTAGCCATAGTAGTGATTGATAAAGCTGTAGTGTGATTCATCAGTGCCTAATTAATTAGATTTCTATGTGATGACGGATATGTGTGGAGCTCTAACATGGGAGGTGAGCCTGACCGTCAGTAGCTACCAAATCCTAGGAGGGAGAAGTGGTGGTAGTGTAGTGTCAGGGGTTGTTGTTGTTATTGTTGTCAGGAGTGTTTATAAGGTTTCAGGTCGTTTAGCTCACACAGATTTATAGAACCGTAAAATAAAGTGTTCATAAATAAATTTCAGGGTAAATGTATTTTTTCTTTTTTTTAAGAACTACACAAATAAATATTTGTATTAATATAATATATAATGTCCACATATGTTGAATTGTATGCTTGTGTTTTCCCAAATTTTCAACTGACACTAGCATATAATTCACTTTTGAAGTACGTAATTATTTCCAGGAAATTGTCAGAAGTTTAAAAATTTTAGATTTTTATCTTTTAGAGAAATATTTTATCGAACAATACAAAGGTTTGGTATCTCATCCTGCCCATAGCTTTCCCAGATATTTATTCACATTTAGAGCTGCGGACAGAAAATGAATCGACAACTATTTTGATAATCGATTATTGCGCCATTTTTTAATAAAGAAATTCTTCGGTGCCAGCTTCTATAAAGTGATTATTTGCTGGTATATTTGCAAGCCGAATAGTTTTTGTTGGACAGTATAAGACATTTGAACACATCATCTTGGACTCTCTAAGCTGTAATGGACAGTGGACACAACATTAGAGGTGTCGATTAACTAGTAGTAGTAGTAGTAGTATTTATTTAGTAACTGTAGGCTGCATGTTTTAGCTTGGTGTACCTAATAAATGCAGGAAACGAGACAATGTCAGAGCACAGCAGGTCAGTCTGACAAAAACAGGCCGCTCCAAAAAAAAAAACAACTAACCTTGTACCAAAATCTTTTCCTGGGTAAAATATGGCTGTCATGACCTCACCACCTGTTTTTCATCTCGAGGACCAGCTCTGAATACTTGGGGTAAATCTGTCCTTTTATATAAATTTAGAATAACGTTGAGCTCTGGCGCACAACAACAGGCCTTGTTATCTGGCCAAAACAGGACAACATTACCTACTTATCCTCTGACAGTAAACTTGAAACCATTTGTCTTGGGGTCTTTTAGACGTTCTGGGCACTGCAGATCACCATGGCTGCCAGTCAGATTTGGAAAGTGGTCCAATCATGGTGCAAGACTTGGAGCAACCATATGACATAGTAATGCAGCGTTGCCAGCTGTCAGTTAGACTTCAGTGCTTTCTATTTATACACTGTCGTTTAGTGGGTGATGTAAAGGCTGTTTTTCTGCTGCACTAGCCTGTTTATCTGGTACTATATTCTCAGTGACGTCTAAGCTGTATACTTCCAGGATTTGAAAGTGATTTTAACAGAGGAAAAGACGGAAAATGTGCCAAATGTAGGGTGTTGTCTTTCATAGGTGGTGGATTGGACGATTTAGACGAGGTTTTAGTCATGTTCCAGCTACGATTAGACGCATTTGCATAAGAGCAAAGAAAGCTTAGGTGTCTGATTTTAGCATGCAGTTAGCCATGGGCCTGGTTTAGGAAAGAATGAGCATCTTAAATTGTTGCTGATGTCATCTTTTTTTGTAATTACACCAGTGCGGACGGCTTTGCCAAGTCCAGATAATCAGCAGCCATCCCTTTTGCCTTCAAGTGTGAATTAAACATCTGATACTTTCAGCTCTTGAAGCGGGGATTAGTTTCAGGTACCTGGTTTGAAACAAATTCGTCTTGCTTTGTAAGCTTTAAAAAAAAAAACAACGTACTTTTCCTCTGAGTGCATATGTGTGTAACAACAGACACTCGTAGGGAAATATTGCATTTCATGACTTGTTTCCTCCTTTTGTGTGCATTTCCATCACCACATGCATTTACACACCCTGCAGTCTCCACAGGAATGGTGGGAACTTTTTAAAGTCTGGTTGAGGTGTGTGCTAACCTCATTAATTCTGCTCTCTCCTGCTTAATTAATCTTTGTCTGCTGCTGAAGTAATTACAGCTATCTAGCTGTCTGAGTGTCTACACACTACTGACACCACCTTCCCCTCTCGGTTGCAGCTGGGCCAGGATTTCCTTTCCCGCAGTCTCTGATGGCTGTCATGCTGTAAGCACTAATTCACTGTGGCATGACCGGGAGTAAAAAGGGAGCTAAGGCTTCATCCTGTGAACTCCCTGAATATTGTCTGCCTTTAACGTCTTTGGAGTTAAAAAATATTCTGCTCCTGCACTCATGAGTGGCAGCAGGATGTTTACAATCTCCCAAAAGTGTTTCGCAGTTAATGAATTTAGTCCTCAGAGTGAAGGCAGACGAAGGACGCCGAGCCCTTGTTGATTTAATAATGTGAAACCCTTTTGATGAATAAAAGCGAAGAGGGAAAACAAAGTCAGTGTAAGAGATAAAATCAAGAAATTTTTTTGGAAATTCAGATTGCAAATTACACTGTGGATAACAGCATTCGCTTTAAAAAGTAATTTAAAAATGTAAAGTTCAGAGGCCTACTAGCCTAATTAGCCTGATTTAGCAGCAGTATCTGTTTTGGGGTGTAGGCTAATGCGAGGCTGATATTTAAACCTTTTTAGTTTCCCAGTGAGCGGTCTGCCGTTTTCACGTGGACTCCCAGGAGATTTAAAAAGGTTCTGTTTCAAAAGAACTACGCTCCCCTCCGGCTTTCCGTCTGCTGTCTAAGACTTTCATTTTGTTTTTATTCTCTCTCTGCTCTCCTCCTTTCCTCTCATTAATTTTTCACTGCTTGCTTTTTTTCAAGCTGGTGGCTATGCGATGTGCAATTGTGCATGCAGATTTTCAGGGTAGCCAGCCAAACGCACCGACTACACACATCGATTTTCAAAAACAAAGTGAGG